AGTTTGCAAAGTTTTTACGTGTTTTTAATGGGTAGACATTGCCATTAAATATGAAAGAGGATATTGGACAGATGACTTCCGCAACTCATTTAATATACTCGACTTCTTTTAAGAAAATTCTGTATTATGCTTTCGCATATCTGCGGCTGAATTTTGGAACTGTTTACAATTAATGCATGGTAATTCTAATTTCCTTATTTTTTCTGTTCTGAGAACATTTCCTTGGAAGTTTTTGGTTAGAAAAAACCTTACCTAATAAAAATTCCACCTGACTACTTCAACCCTCCTAAATTGATTGCTAAGTTAGTAAATAGAAAAAAAATATATGTAAAATATTTAAGGAGGTAATAGTATGAACCAAAATAAGCAGAAAAGTCTCAATAAACATGGGTCCGCAAAGTAACGGTTGCGGAGATATGGAATGTTTGATGTTTTTTAGCCCCTTTTTTTATTTTGCAAAAACGTTGTGTATTTTCTTATAATAGTTGGTTGATGTTTAGTGAAATAAACAGTACGTATTTGACAGTTGTTCTCAGTGCACAAGTTTTCTTTCGCTATGGCTGGTTACTCTAACGCAGAATTAACAGACATGCATTTCATGTATGGTCGTGCTAATGGGAACGCCACCGAAGCGCGACGTCTTTATGTTGACGCTTATCCAAATCGCCAGATTCCTTCACAACGCATGTTTGGAAGAATTCACCAAAGATTGCGTGATACCGGTTCCTTGAGCAAACAGTGCCATTTATCCGGAAGACCAAGGTCGGTATCCACTCCTAGAGCAGAAGAAGAAATTCTAGCACTGGTAGAGCAGAATCCAGGTACGAGTGTGCGGAGAATATCAGCCGAGGTAGGAATTAGTGGTCCTCTTGTTTGGAGAATCCTTCACGAGCAACTGCTTTATCCATACCATGTGCAACGAGTACAGGCCTTAAATCCAATAAATGATCATCAAGCACGTTTGGTTTTTTGCCGCTGGTTTCTACGTCATGATGCTGAAGACCCTCGTTTTCTTGCAAACATTCTTTTTACTGATGAGGCCGGGTTCACAAGAAATGGAGTGTTTAATTTTCACAATACGCATATTTGGGCCGACGAAAATCCTCATGCTCTAATAGAATCTGGACATCAGGCACGTTTTTCATTAAACATTTGGATGGGTATTGTAGGTGACAGGTTTCTAGGTCCTGTTGTTTTACCAAACCGATTAACAGGCGCTGCTTACCTCAACTTTCTGCAGAACACACTGTATGAGTTTTTGGAAGACATTCCTTTGAATCAGAGGCAACAAATGTGGTTCCAGCATGATGGTGCTCCAGCTCATTTTTCCATGGCCGTTAGAGAGCATTTACACCAAACTTTTCCACATAGATGGGTAGGAAGGGCCGGACCTGTTTTATGGCCTCCAAGATCGCCTGATCTGAACCCTCTAGATTTCTTTGTTTGGGGATATTTGAAGACATTAGTGTATGGTACTCCTGTAAATAGCCTGGAAGAGCTGCAGCTACGGATTAATCAAAAGTGTCAAGAAATCCAAACCAAGGAGGGTGTTTTCGAAAGAGTTCTAATATCGTTGAGACGAAGATGTCGTGCCTGCTTGGAAATGGACGGATGGCACTTTGAACATCTTCTGTAACTTTGTTTTTTGTTTGTTAAAAGCTTCCTTTGTAGGTTTATTCCCAATAAAATAAAATGTTTGAAAAACGAATAGTGGTCCATATCTCCGCAACCGTTACTTTGCGGACCAGTGTTTATTAAGACTTTTCTGCTTATTTTGGTTCATAATATTACCTCCTGAAATATTTTACACTCTTTTTTAACACCCTGTATAATGACTTCATTACTTGTACATCTCAAGAATTCTTTTCTACACCATTCAGATTTCAGCACTGCCGTATAAAACAGATGAATTGTAATTAATTAACTATCGATTATTTTGAAAAATTGACATCGTCTGTATACAATGTATGTGGCAATAACTTTTGTGCAACCTTTTATAGATTCTATTGCAACATGCAACAAAAAATCACTTGACATGGAAGGGATATAATAGTTATTAATGATACAAGTGTTAAAAGTGACATTTTATTTTGAGAGTGAAGAATATTGCGGCACGAGTATAGCGAGTAGCAATTGGAACAACCGCACCAACAAAATAAATTCACATTTAACAAATGCATCATACAATATTTTTTGTAAAACTGTTATTAATCTATCGCTTACGTGTCGTACGCGTTGGCACTGATCGTGAGTACTAAATTCGTTTCAATTAAATACACTGGTCGACATGATTCGTATATATTCACTACGAATAGTCATCTCGCGAAGATTTTGGCTCGCTGAAGCCGAATTTGGCCTCAGAAATGCTCGATCTCCTAAGGTTTTTGAGATATAATCTAAAAGTGCAAAAATAAGATTTTTACACATATTTGAGGTTACTTATATAATATCGTCAGGTACAATCCTTCCACTTTTCAAGCGAGTTTGAATCGTCCAAATATCTTTTTTTTTTTTTCACCGAGATATGATCATTTGATGTTACCGTCTCACAAAATTATGCACTCAGATGTATCATGTCGACCAGTGTTATGTGTGGCAATAAAGTGTATATATCAGGTCAGGTACTGGATAAAGAGTAACTAGATAAAACAGTTGTAAGTTGTTTAGTGTTTATTAGTAACTACAATTGAAGCTGTCCTTAAATATTGTAAATTTTGAGGCTAAAAAATAGATTTTTAAGAAAATTCGAGAAATGAAAATAATTTTATTATTCCATCAGATGTTGAAGAAGCAACAAATAGGGCAACTTTAGATCTTGAGCCCCAGAAATCGCAGCAACAATATGATATGGCATATAAAAGACTTACTGAATGGTGTAAAATAGAGAAAGTAGCAGACAAGTTCACTGAAAATATATTTTTGGCTGCGAAGAAAACTGTAAGTTATGGAAGGCGTCAACACTGTCGTCTAATTTCTCTATCATAAAAGCTAGTTTGCAAATCAAGAACAACGTGGATATAAGCAAGTATTACACGCTAACGATAAGCGTTTTCAAAATGAAAAAGTGTAGGATATCGGCCAAAATAATCGAAAAATTTACTAGCGTACAAATTAGCACATTTTTTAAGGAAGCTCCAGACACCAAATATCTAATGATAAAAGTTGCATCAATTTTTGGTTTGATTGGAGCATGCTATCGTGAAGAGCTTTGTAAATTAACATTGGATGATATTGAAAAATCAGAAAACTCCTTATTGATTCATATTTTGGAGACTAAAACCAATGTTCGTTGTAGTTTCAACCTACTGGAATAAATACTTTTGTGAAGATTTCTATTAATATTGACGAATTTCTGAAATTGTCAGATCCGAAGCAGTTTAATGGGCATTGTTTCTCAAGTACTTCGGCATTTTTGTTAACAGATTCTGGAGCTAATTTAATTACAATAAAACGACATGATGGATGAAAATCATCAACCGTTCTGAGGGCTACATCGATGATTCTACTATAAATAAAAATAAAACACTGAGAGAATTCCTCCCAGTACCTGTACCTCTAATGCTGCAATTGCTTTAGAGAACCCTTCTTGACCCTTGAGAACCTTGACATCAGCGTCATCAGGTGTCATCGACGATAGTATTGCAGTTAAACTGAATACCTCCGCAATTATTTCTCAGTGAATTAACATAAGTTCCTAACTGTTTGGGTTGTAATATTATTGTTAATGTTTGTAAATAAATATTTTATAACTGTTCCAATAAATATGTATTAATGTTTCTAAATTCTATTATTTCTAAATTTATCAATACAACTTTCGATGATCTTTAGAACAATGCATATTACTATACAGGGTGATTCATTAACAATGGGAAAGTCGAAAGCTGACGATACTACACGTGAAATGGTGACCATTGGCGCAAACATGTCTTATCCGAAAGTTAATAGTTTCGGAAATACAGGATGACGAAAGTTAAAATTTTAAATCGTTTTTTTGCGATTATTCTGAAAATATGTAGGTTAGGAACTAGAAAATTTGTGGAACTCTATTTTTTTAGACGACGAATAAGATGCCTGTTGTAATTTCAGCATTGCTCATAGAGGACGCTACTTACGACCAATTTTACCGAAAATTTAGTTAATAACTTTTTACCCTGTATATTTAACATGAAACTTGATTCAAAACCTTAAAGAGCTATTATTTTTCCATTAATTGTGTATTCTTGTTTCATTTCGGTATCTCGATCCATTTTCGAGAAAAACCGATTTAACGAACAGTATGTTTTGATAATACGAGAAATTAAAAGCGAAACAAACCAAGTGTTTCTTCATGTTATTACAATAATTAAGAATGAAACAAATGAAATTCGTAATAATGATTTAAAGTCAGTGTTCGAAGAATGCACCGTTGACATTTACACACTTTACACAACGTTTTCTGAGAGATCTTCGAGTTTGAAACAACATATTGAGATTGCGTCTGACTTCGTTGGCAGCGATTTGTATTCTTTGCCACAACTCTTCACACGAGCCAATAGATTCTTTGTAAATTATATCTTTCATTCGAGACCAAATAGAAAAATCAAGAGGATTGAAGTCCGGACTTCTGGATGGTCAAGCAAAAATGATTACATGGACAATTCCGCGATTTGGAAAAACTGCGTCTAAATATGCACGCACTGGCTAGTGGAGCTCCGTCGTGCATGAACCACATGTCTCTTCTTAAATAAAGTGGAACTTTAATCGCTGCCGAAAAAAAATTACCTACGCAAAAAAATCTCTTTCCTGTTCGAAACAGTCTACATTAATAAAAGCGAAACGACATATTCTGAAAATAGCAACGTTCACTACGCGACCATATATCGCAGGAAAATAATTTCGCACCTTTATTTTATAGCCCCATTATTTCTTATTTACTGCTTGTGCACAGCGACTCTCAAACGCTGCCCGGAGATTGTTCTACCCCGCGAGTTCTATACATTACGCCCACTAGGAAAACTCACCATAGCGTGATGATTACGTAGGGGGTGCAGCACCAGATGTAGACCGCCACGATGGTGATGGTCATCCTAAGGGTCCTGCTCCTCGCTCGCTCGATGTTGCTGATGTCGGACCGTCTCAGGCGCATCCTGCCATTGGAGGCCCGATAGGATTCTCCTGGAAAAGTAAATAGTCTCAGGTTTATATACGGGGTGTTTCGAAATTAATCTTATATATAAAATTCTCGTGTCACAATGTTCGTTCCCGTACTCCTCCGACACGGCTTGATCGATTCTCATGAAATTTTGTGAGCATATTGAGTAGGTCTGAGAATCGGCCAACATCTATTTTTCATACCCCTAAATGTTAAGGGTGGTCCTCCCCAAAATTTTCTTTTGTTGTTTTTTGGACAAAATTTTATTTTTTTATTTTTTTATGATGTGGCCTTAAAAAATACATACAATCCTAAATTTTCACCCTTCTACCATCAACCCTTATTTTTTAATAGCGATATTAGTAATTCAATAATTTTCAACCCCGCTCGATAACTGATCAATTATCACTTGATCATTTTTTTTATCCCCGCCAGGCGTCGACCGGTGTCACTTCTGACCCAGTAAACAGCACGGAGTAGGGATGAGATCTCTCTCACACAATGAGCCGTTTCTCACTCCCTACAGTTTTCGGCCATTATTATTATTGTTTGTGCATCAACCATAATAATGACATTTACTATTACCATTCATAAAAAAATATATACACGATATACACTGAATAACACTAAATATAATATAGATGGTAGAAGTGAAATTTATTTATGAAAAATCTACTAAAATAATCCTAGGAATAATTTATATGGCAAAACAACGTTTGCCGGGTCCACTAGTATAATATAAAAACACATTCTTAACGTAGCGAAATTGCTAAATAATGCAATCTTCCAAACATATATCATGTATTTTTTTTGTTCTAACATCAACCTTGACAAAAAGCTTAGGGTAAAGATGCCTATTACGAGACACCTTTTTTAAAAAATCATGGTTTTTTCAATTTTAACATTTTTCTTGGAAAATTAACGTTTTTCTTTGGAGAATTTAATCTAAATCCTTCAAAAAACGCGGGGACGCCTCAAATTTGTATTTTAGTTTTTAAGTTAGATTTTATCAAAAAAGTAATATTTGCCTAATCGAAAAAGGGGTTCCCAATTTGAGACATTATGGGTTCTCAATTAGGGAATAAAGCTGAAAATGACCTCAAAAACAAAAAAACATTTTTTTCTTTAAACAAAGTAACATTTTCTCTTACAACAACGAATAGGTAATTCTGTGAACAAAATAAAAAAAAAGTTTAGGTTTACAACCTTAACAACAAACGGCACAAATAAACTTTTTTTATTTTATATCTCCACATTTTAGATGTGCCCATTTGAAACAGGCCTGGCATTTCTCCCACTTTTCACCTCCCGTATCTTCGGAATACAAATCGGCGCAATATGGACACTGCATCATCTTCCTCGTCTTCTGAAGAAAAATCCGTGGTGTGCGAAACAGTGTCATCATCTTCACTGGACGTTGATGATTCTGTAAAAACTTTCCTTTTCAGAGGCCTTTTCCCAGTTCCTTTTCATTTTGCAGCACTTTTCTTTGGCTTTATTTGTTTTTCCTTTTTTTTGCCTACTTTTCTTTTCTTCTCTTCAAAGCTTCTTCTGTTTGTAGTTTGTATGGAGGAGATTGCGAGTTTAGTATTGAAGGTCTAACTAAAAACCTTTGTTTCGCTCATCTTTCCGGTGTTTATTAATTGAATGCCGATACTTAAGGGTGTGAATCCTTGGGTCATTTTAAGAAGAAAACTTAATATCAACATATGTCCTAAACTTCTTAATTTTTGAGCTACAGTGTGTTACAGTTTTAAGAAAAAATTTACTTTTTTATTATAATTTTCTTCATCCAGATATTTTTATGAAATTTATTATGTACACACCTATTAATCATTAAAGAGCATTGTTTGATGTAAAACATGTTTTAAAATCTTTGCCAATGACGTCCGTACGAGGTTTGAACTAAACATTTTTGAAGAAAAAAATGGTACGCCACTGCTTTTTCTAAAAACTAAAATTATTTTTAAAATCTCCATTTATTTTACAGCAAATTCGGTTCCTAGACTTACTCTCGTACGACGCACCATTTGCACGTAAAAAAATTAAAACCAAAAAAGTTTTTTCCCCAAGTTCATTGAGACTGCTTTTGATATTTTGTTGCCATTTTGTAGACACCCACCATGCTAGACACCCACCATGCGTGGAAACACTTTTTGTGTGGCAAAAGGCATAATATTAAATGTTTGGATAGAAAAAACGGTAAGCTCATTAAATGCCCCCTTAAAGCAAATGAAATAAAAATTAGTAGGCTGGGTAAAGTATCATAATTTTTGGCGCTTCTTTTCGCAATAAAGTTGACAACTGCTTTCCCGCGCGACGCGGCCTCTGTTAACATATGGTAGAAAGTGAACTGCCGGTAATATAGAACAGTGGCGCTCTTTAAAAAAAACGGCCTAATTTGCGAAAAAGCCCGGTATCTCATATTTGGAACTGTCTCATAATAGGCAACTTTACCCTACTACTTGCACATTTTTTATTAGGATTGTTTCAGGTACTCTCCTTGCAATAATTAAAATAAATAGATCTTAGCAAAGCTGACGTTACACGTAATTGCTACCAAAGATATTAAAATTTACTTCCATTTGATCAAAATTTCTTTCCGTTTTCTTAGATTTCCGACCGACGCCATCTGCCAATTCAGAGACATCCGTGCTTCCCGTGTGTGTTTTCTGTTGTATTTGTTTGTGTTCTTATTTGAATGTATCGTTAATCTTCTAAATAATCAGTGCTTCTCAACGCTAATCAGCTGTTAACTGTTAGTTTTGTGATAAGGTTTCTTCGATATAAAGTACCCGAACTGTTTTAGGTTAGAAAATTGCCTTTTCGTTAGAAGACGATAAATTTATTGTAGAGGCCTACTTTCGGAGTGGTCAACGAGATGAAAATGGATGGAATTATTCAATCCATTCATGTTTTTTGCAATTCCAGGAAGAGTTTCCAAATCATGAAGCCGCAGATTATAACATTTTACTGGGCATGTTCGACGTTTGGTGACACGATTAAGAAATTTTGGCAGTGTTGCAGTGTAAACGGTAAAAGTCACCTGGAAGAAAGTAAGTTTTAACTGAAGATACACTGGAGAATGTTAGAGAGCGTTTAGCAGCAAACCCCACTAAACCTTCACGACAACTTTCAGCTCAGGCGGGTAAATATTTATAAAATGTTAAATTTCAGTATTTAAAAATATTAATTATAGGAATGCCATATGGTCAGTACACGGAGCTATAAGAAAATTACATTTGCATGCACATAAAGTTTCCATGATGCAAGAATTATTACCATAAAATAATGAAAAAAGAGTGAACTATTGTAACTGGTTTAACCTAAACGATGACAATCTTTTAGATATAACTTTTGTTACCTATGCACAATGGTTACTTTCAACAAGATGGGGCAACAGCACACACAGCTAACACAACACTGGAGTTCCTAAGAGAATTTTATGACGATCGCATTATTAGTCGAGGCTTATGGCCTTCAAGATCTCCGGACTTAACTCCCTTAGATTATTATCTATTTGGAACATTAAAGAATTCCATATATGTAAACCGTTTACACACAGTGGATGAACTAAAGGACGCCATAACAAATAAATTATATAATGTATTTAACAGCTTAAGAGGGCGAATTCAAAACGAAGGCATCCACATTCATTATAAATAAATTGTGATTAAAAATATTAAATATTTCGATTTTTCATTTAAATGTTTAAATAGTTAGAAATTATTATTATTGTTAATTTAAATACAACACTTATTATTACTAGTAGGGGTACAAATAACGCACATAAAGCAAAAGCGATTCGAAGATCATTCCAGGAATAACGTAAGCGTTCTCGTCCGAATTTCGATTAATACACTTATGCTGAGAGAAGCGAATTGATTTGTTGAAGGCTTTCAAAAGTTTTTTTTAATATAGTTTTTGTACAATCACACAAAACCGGGGGAGGATGGTAGGCAAAAAGGTAAGAAGACAAACTGACAAAGAAGCAGACAGCCTAATGGACATTTAGACATAGGGTGGCAGAAAAACAGACAGAAACATTTAGTCATTTAGTCAGACAGGAAGATAGACAAAATTACCAACAAAAAGGTAGGTAAAAAGGCAATATGTCAGGTAGATGGACAGAGAGAAAATACAGGCGGACGATAAATACAGACTAACAAGCAAACAAATGCAGGTGTGCAGGTAAAAAGGCAGACAGATGAACAGACAAAGATAAAAAAAATCCAACCTTTTTTCACCTCGTATTCTTACTTTAACCTCCAAATGACCTTGAACACGAAGTGACAGAGGTCAACCGACCTTTGCACCGGAATCAGAGACCCCAAAAATCCCTGGGTACCTAGGAGTCCGGTGTTTTTTTTTCAAACTAAATGTTGACCTGTTTAATGATTGTTAAAAATCGTTTCTTACGAGTATGTTAGTTTTGCGGTTGATAACAATAATATCTAAATCATTTTTATATAATCCTTTCCTTTAACAAATTAATAAACCCCTCAAATTAATTAATGCTACCATTCTTCTTTTTGTGTTGTATATTGTGATTAAAACAAACAAACAAACAAATAAACAAAGGTATTTAAAAGATGTACCTACTTCATTCGTGTTTTTAACAAAACGTAGGTGCATAATATATTACATTTTTTGTATCTTTAATAACTGTACCTTTAAAAACAACATATTACAATTTCTAATTTTACATACTCTTAAAATTATACATCGTATAATGATTCTAAATTTGGAATCAGGTAAATAAACAAAATTTAATTTTCATTAATTGAATTGCGTGATATAATGTTTACTTTATATCTTTTATTTTTCTACCTTCTTCAATGTGAAATTTTCTGTAACACAAAAATAGACGGCTGATCCTCTTGGCGCAAGAATTTACTTCATCAATTTTGTATTTTTTCGCAGGTGGTACCCAGAAAAAAATACAACTAAACAACTTTAGACATTATCTTTATTAGATACTTTACAAGATTTTTTTTTCAGAGACAATTAACTTAACTATTCCTATTTTTTAAATACGTTTTCAGGAAACTTTATATATATAAAAACAAATTGGACCCAAAAATATTAAAAATTGATATATGGGTTAGTATTTTTACATAGGAAATATCAGTCTTGATACTGTATCATTATTCACCTTGGAGATAAAGCATTATCCGCTCCCTTCCCATTTTCTCGCAGTATTAAGAAACAGATTTGCTTTTAAGAAGCATTTCGGGGTAAACGTACCCATATTTTTCCCAGGTTTTTTTTATAATATATGTCTTGATCCTTGGAGGTTTATCTGAAATATAGCGATTAATATCTAGAATATCAAGAGTTATAGCCGCAGTATTATAATCTCACTGTGCTTTTCGTTTTTTAATAAGTATTTTACTGATACTGCTATTATTAAAAATCTAACCATTATGTATAATTGAAAGGGTGAGAAGAATTACCTAACCTTTAGATTATTACGCAATTATTGCTTTTTCGCTGTTACATTCTCTGGAATCATTTGATTTTAATTTTCGAGCAATCTTTATCACAATCAAGAAATTAAGGGAATGATAAAAATCCTTGTTAACATTAAGATTGAATTCATTAAACATCACTTCGATCTCTTTATTAACATTAATTAGAATACTCTGAATTTAAAATTAGCCGCGGTTTCACTTTGTGAATAAAAAAAATTATCCTGAAAAAATTTTTTGCTTGTTAGAAAGATTTAGTTGCCTGTAAAGGGATACGCTCAGAAGCTTGGGACTTCATCAGAGAATGAAAATGTGTTCAATAATCGTGGAAAATAAGCGTCTCGTTAGCCTCAAATCTTTTTTACAGTCTGGAAGCGGCGTTAGGAGTTTATTTCAAATTTAAATATCTAATCCCAAGCAGCACAATTTTACAATAGTTTAGAAGTATTTCTTGATCTTATACCACCTAAACTGCGATACCTTTTATGGTTTATATTGATAGAATAACCTCATTTCAGTTTAAAAAGCCAAGTACATAAAATATGTAGTGGGTTGCGGTTAGACAAAATGGAGCTCTATGCGACGCATGAGCGAGTGAAGATTGTGAAAATTCGTTACAAGTACAGAGAGTGTGTAACTGAGACTCTGCGCAAATTACGTGGAATTTCCGATAGAAGGAACACTCCAAATGAAACAACTGTGAAGAGATTAGTTGCCAAATTCGGTTGCAGACAATAAAAAAACAAGCCGGCCTCGTACTGGCCGTTCAGACATTAATATTGCTACAGTGACTGATAGTGTGGCGAAATTCCCGTAATCTCAGTGTGTCGTCGGTCAATGCAATTAAATGTTTCAAAAAGCACAATGCAGTGGATTTTAACAAAAGATTAAAGATTCAGGTAAACCAGGAATTGAAACCAGACAACCATTTAATGCGACATTCGTTGACTGGATGTTGGAGACTCAACAAATAGACAATGATTTTTCAAAGAAAATCATTTTTAGCGCATTTCCATATTAGTGGGTATATGAACAAGTAAACCTGTCGAATTTGGAGCAGAAAGCTTTCAGGTCATTCAAGGACAACCTCTGTATACGCAAAGAGTGACAGTGTGATGCGGATTTTACGCTGGTGGGGTGATTGGTCCTTTCTTGTTTGAAAATTAGGTTGGAAACGCAGTGACTGTCAATGGAGAACCATATTGAGAGATGCTATTGAACTTTGTGCGGCCTCATTTGCATGGCATGGATTTGCATGATATGTAGTTCCAGCTGGATACTATAGACGAGCGGTCCACCCCTAAAAAGATGCTTAGAAAATCAAGGTCACCGACCACGAGGAGGGGCGAGGATGAAACCTTTTGTAATCGATGCGTTGAGTCATTGTGAACAAAAAACCTAAGTAACATTTTTGTGTCCCAGTGGCAGGTAATTTGTTATTAACAAAAAAGTTGCAAAATAAAAATATTGCAAAAAACGCTCTGCAAACGTATATTCGCTGGTAAATTGGGCAAAAATAAACACTTTTTGTCTATTGACATTTTTTCGTAAAACGCTTCCTTTTCGACCTAGAGGCGATTTAAGGTCGAAAAATCTTTAAAAGTTGTCAAATTTAAAAATTTATATCTCATCTCCTACCAAAGCTTTCGAAACGTTCAAAAGCGCAAGATGATCCTCGAGACTTATACTTTGATGTAGTATTTTTTTTAAACCCGCCCCCTTTTTTTAACTCGTTAAATTTGCAGTTGAATTTCGGCCGCTAGTGCCCACGCGCCACCCCTGCTATCGTTATTGTATATAGATATAGCGCTGTCGTGCATATAATCGAATAAACGCTATTCATTCATTACTTGTTACAATTTTTACTATTTAGTATTACTAACACTAATACATATTTTCAAATTAATCAAATATTGTATATCATATAATTATTTATAAGATTAATAATATGAATTTCATATTTAAATGGAATTACGTTACAAATATATTGATTTATATTTATAACTGTATCTTCATTAATGTAGCTTCAATAATAATAACTATATATAACTATATTTATATCAAAAAATTATTTAGAACTAGAATATAAAATATTATAAAAGGATACGAATAGATACTCAACCAAAATATTAAATGACCGAGTTTTCGCGAACGTGCGCTTATGCGAATTATTTGTTATAACTTGTTTAAACAAGCGCAATGGATTAGAATGCAGCGATCGGGTGTCGCATAGATCATTAGTTTATTGTCTGGCATCAGGTAATAACAGTGAACATTTGACAAATAATGTATAAAAAATAAATAATAAATTTTCTACAATACTTATTTGTGCTGTCATAGTGCAACAATCCTTTATTAGTCTGTAAACAATCATGCAACGTATGTGAATATTTAATGTTGTATAAAATTGCAGGTAAGTTTTCGAAAATTATTCTTGTGCTATTCGTTATTTAATACAATATTTATTATTCCCAATAGCTAGTATGTACATGATGGTACATACAGTGGATAGTTACCCTGCAGCGATGAAGACATTTGTTCTTGCTTATCACAAGGCTTCAAATGTTGCTATCTTTGCAATTGCTCTATAAAATGTCAAAATGCAGAAATGCAAACTGATGATGATATTGATTCGGAGACTGAAAATTGATTTTTTATTAAATAGTTAAGTTTATATTTAAATGTAAATATATTTATTTGTATTAATAAATACCTTTGATATATGCATTTTTTGAAATGTTTAATTAATTTATTTTTCATTTAAATATGATATTCTTATTATTAAGGTTTGAAATAATTATATGATATACAATATTTGATGAATTTGAAAATATTTATGAGTGTCAGAAATACTAAATAGTAAAAATTGTAACAAATAATAAATGAATAGCGTTCTTTCGATTATATGCACGACAGCGCTATATCTATACCGGGTTATTCAGTTTGGTATTCGCGGCCCTGTATCTCTTTTATTTTAACAAATAGCTATAACAAAACCTATATATTTTTAAATCGCCGCACAAACTCTATCAAATGACATTATTAGATCGTCTCCATAGTGACATATGTCAAAATTGCTATAGTCAATTGTTTTTGTTCAAATGGCACACTATATATTTTTTTATCAATTCTGGAAGATATTTTTTTTCTGCGTTCAGCTATGTAAGGAAGTATATAGTTTCATTAGAAATATTGCTAGAAAAACAGCAAAAAAGATAAACCCTACTTTTCGTACCTTTATTCTGAAAAATGATAGGCAGCTACGGAAACAAGCTACTGTGTTTTTTAAAGTAACATATTTTATTTTTAATACAATAATAATATAACAATTTAAAACAATACTTATTTCAAATGTGCAAAATGACCTCCATTTGCTTCCAAACACAGAATAGCTTTGTTTATCACTCTCTACAAACACATTCTAGTGTTTCTTCATTTAATCTCCGACATTCTACCCTTTAGGTAAGGCCAAAGAAAGAAATATATAGGAGTGAGATCCGGAGATTTAGCAGGCCATTTAACATCTTCATGGAATGTTCTTGCCTTTCTGGGTTTAAAAACTCTTCTTTTCTTTTGAAAACTTTCATCTGATGGAAGTTGTCTCTGCGGAAAACGCAGTTGGTATAAATACCTCGCAGCTTTAGCGTTCTTTCGGCGATCTCCATAAATTAAAATCATATCTAGTATTTCTTGATTACTGTATGTATTCATAATAAGTATAGATAGAATAGGTAGGTACAAAATGTCAATTATTTTGACAAAACGTTATTTAGAAACGTCAAAATTCAGTTGTTTCCGCAGCTGGCTATCATTTTCCTGAATAAAGCTACTGAAAGTAGGGTTCATCTTTTTGCTGTTTTTCTAGCAATATTTCTAATGAAACTATAGACTTAATTATATAGCTATACGCAGAAAAATCCCGAATCGATAAAAAAATATATATTGTGCCATTTGAACAAAAACAGTTGACTATAGCAATTTTGACTAATGTTACCATGGAGGCGATCTAATAATGTCATTTGATAGAGTTTGAACGACAATTTAAAACTATATAGGGTTTGTTACAGCTATTTGTTAAAATAAAAGAGATATGGGGCCGCAAATATCAAACTGAATCACCCGGTATATAGCGATACGTAGGGGTGGCGCGTGGGCACTAGCGGCCGAAATTCAACTGCAAATTTAACGCGTTAAAAAAAAGGGGCGGGTTTAAAAAAAATACTACATTAAAGTATAAGTCTCGAGGATAATTTTGCGAAAATTGTTTGCAGAGCGTTTTTGCAATATTTTTATTTTGCAGCTTATTTGTTACTAACAAATTACCTACCACTCGGACACAAAAATTTTACTTAGGTTTTTTGTTCGCAATAACTCAATGCATAGATTACAAAAGGTTTCATCCTGGCCTCTCCTCGTGGTCGGTGACCTTGATAAGCATATTTTTAGGGGTGGACCGCTCGTCTACTATTCCTGAATTAAAGGCAGAAATTCGGAGAGTTGTCAACAAAATTCAGCCATAGATGTAATGAACTAATTTTAGTTTCCGGTTTTATGTAGGCGTTTTTATAAATGTTCAGTTGACCTGGAAAAGACTAGAATAGTACTGGCACTCCCATAATAAAAAAGGAAAGAGTGTACGTGTGTGGTGGTAGGCCGTCTTTGTCTATGAGGGTAAGTTACTTCACTTCATACTTCAGCCTGAATAAAAAAGTACCGATCTATTTGTGTAATTAAATGTAGCAAGACGAGTATAAATTTATAAGGATAATATAGTTTTTGC